GCAGTGGTGTAATCCTAGCTCACTGCAACCTTAAACTCCTGGGCTTATGTGATCCCCCACCTCAGCCTCCAAGTAGTTGGCACTACAGCCACATGCCACCATGCCTAGCTAACTTAAAATTTTCTCTCTTTTTTTTTTTTTTTTTGACAGACAGGATCTTCCTATGTTGCCCAGGCAAGTCTTAAACTCCTGGCTTCAAGTGATCCTCCTGTCTCAACCTCTCAAAGCACTGAGATTGCAGGCTTGAGCCATTATACTTGGCAGCATATATATTCTATTACGTTAAATTAACAGCGTCATGATTAGTCATCATGATATGCAAAAGCAATTCTATTAGGTTGTTCTGAAAAAGTTGGAATGATTTTATGCCCACATTTAACATGCAAAATTAGTTAGTATTATTCAATTAGACAGAAGGAGCCTGACACAGTGGTGAAATCTGGAGGCTTTGGCTATGGATTGAAAGAAACAGGAAGGGATGGATGGTTAGTAATTGCGTTGAGCTTAACTACATATGCATGTCTAATTCTACCATTTGTTTTATTACCACGGAATCTTGAGAAACACACGAACGGTTTCCCCCCAGTCTATAAAAAGGGCTTTGCATTTGCAATATCAAGCGCAGGGAGAATTGTTCCGTTTATGACCTGTGCAATGGGCAATATAAAAGCAAACGTGCTGTGGTGCACATGTACAGTGGCTATAATAATAGGTCTGGTGACGCTCCCCTTGCATTTCTTCCAGGTTGCTTTCAGCTATGTAACGTTTTTCGATCCCATGAGATGGAAATCGACCAGTGCTTGCTAGAGTCCCTTCCCCTTGGCCAACGGCAGCGTCTGGTGAAGCGCATGCGCTGTGAGCAAATCAAAGCCTACTATGAGCGCGAGAAGGCTTTTCAGAAGCAGGAAGGGTTCCTGAAAAGGCTGAAGCATGCGAAGAATCCAAAAGTTCACTTCGACCTGGCGGACATGATACAGGACGCGATTATCCACCACAATGACAAAGAAGGTACATGATAAGAAAGAAGGACCCGTTTTCTGATGTGATTTTTTGTGATTGATTTTTGTTGGTTTGTTGTTTTTTTTGATGGAGAGACGGGACAGAAAAGTCCTTTTAAATATTGGAGGCTACTATCTTTTAACTGTTCGAATTATTCAAGAAGAAAAAAATGCGGTTTGCAAAGAACATCATTAAAAGTCCTGCCACCTAGTAAGATGAAAAAAATGTAAAAATTGTGGTGAAATTGTATTTTTTTTTTTTTAAAGAATTACCTATCAGAAGAGCAAGCGAGTTCCTTTCAAATTGTTCAGTTCTAATTGTTAGGGAAACTTTTAATCAATGAATTGGTTTTCTATTTAGAAAATTTTTATAGAGACAGGGTCCCAGTATGTTGACCAGGCTGGTCTCAAACTCCAGGGCTGGAGCAGTCCTCCAGCCTCAGCCTCCCAGAGTGCAGGAATTTCAGTGAATCGTTTTTCCTGATGATGATTTGGGACTGTGGAATTTGTTACTTCTTAGCTCATGCTTTGATAGATGTGGCAGTAATGTGACTTCCTCTGACTCTCAGGAATCAATTTCTTTCTCCCTTAAAGTTGTTTGGCTTGTGGTATCACGTTTTACTAAGATTACCCAATGCAAATCTCAATTGTCTTCACAAGACTGTTAAATTTTTCACTTCTTATATATTCTTGTATGTGAATTTTTCTGTTTTCCTATATAGAACCCACTTGCCCAAGTTCAAATGTGAGAGAAATGTTCCAGCTCTGAATGTAATTGTTGTAGTTGTACAAGGGTTCAAAGAAACAGATATAAATCAATTTACCTTGATTGGCTCCCAAATCAGTGTTTGAATGAATCTAAAACAAGCATTCTTCACAATTCATTATTCACAATTTGAAATCTAAAAAGCTCTGAAGCCATTATATGGATAGATCATTTAGTGGCAAAACTTTCACTGACCTATTCATGGTTTATAACCTGTTCAGTTTGGAAAAATAATAAATTCAATAACATACGTGCTTTGAAGGCTTTCAAATGGGGATTGTGGATCTATTAGCTAAGAAAACCTATAGCACATTATATAGAGTAATAGTTATACATAGTAAGAAGACTCAAGTCATTCTTTTCATGGTTTTGTGTGGGCTTTTTCTAGTTAAACTGGAATACTCTGAGAATTTCTGATTTTTTTTTTTTTTGTCTTAAATTGCAGTAACAGTAGTAGTGAATCTTTGAGCTGGAAAGTACCTAAAAAATTTTGGTGTGGTCCACTTACTTTACCCATGAAGGAACTGAAATTCAGCCATTGTGTCATATTCTCTGGAAGGCTGTGTGGAGCACTCTGACCTTTCATTTTATTATTCTCTTCTCACCTATGGCTGTTCATTTAATGGCCACCTCCTCCGTGAGTCTGTGAGCACATCGAAGGCAGGGACAATGTCCACAAGGTCATTGCTACCTCTTGCCCATCTCATACCTTCCAGCAGCATTGAGTGAAAGAGTAAAGTGATCGGTTCTTGTTCAACACACAGTAGTTGTTACAACAAACTTAAATGAGAAAGCAGGTCTTGAAATTTAAGCCCTATTTTGATTTAAAAGTAATAAAACACAAAAATTAATTGGTGCCAGTGCGGTGGCTCACACCTGTAATCCCAAGACTTTGGGAGGCAGAGGTGGAAAACTTTCCTGAAGCCAGGAGTTAGAGACAAGCCTGGGCAACATAGCAAGACCCCATCTCTACAAAATATTTTTAAAAATTAGCTGTATACAGTGGTGCATGTCCAGCTACTCAAGAAGCTGTGGTAAGGGATTGTTTGAGCCTAGGGGTTAAGGCTATAGTGAGTCATGATGGTGACCTGAACTCCAATCTGTGCAATAGAGCAAGACCCTGCCTCAAAAACACTTCTTTTAATGTATTGGAAATGTTTTAAAATTTCTTGTACCAAATACCTACAGTACACAATTATGTCTAATAGGTTAGGGTTAAAGGAAAATTCGTAGTAGTAAAGTACTAACTCAAAAGCCAAGAAGCAGTTATTATATAAGTCATGTTTCCACAAATATTCATGTCATACAATCTGAATTAATGCTTTCTTAGCAGATGTTGTAGGTGTGAAACTATGCAACCTAGTTTCTAGTGGCAAGCTAGGCGAGAGATTGTGGTGGCTTGGACCCAAGTGGAGCGAGGGTGTGGTGAGAAATAGTCAATTTTAGGATTTATTTTTGGGACAGAGCTGACAGAAAATGCTGATTACCTGGCTATAGGGAGTGTATTGATTTTCTATTGCTACCAAAACAAATTATCATGAATTTAATAGTGGCAAACAGCATAAATATTATCTTACGGTTCTGTAGGTCAGAGGTCAGGTATGGGCTTTGGTGAGATGTAAACAAGGTGTCATCAGCACTGGTTCAACAATTCTAGCTCCCAGAGGCCACCTGCCTTCCTTGGATCAGAGCCCCCTCCTCTGTCTCCAAGGTCAGCAGTGATGGATACAGGGCAGGGACAGTGCTCCTTCTCACGCTTTAGTTTGCCTGTTTCTTTGTCCATCCTTGTATCTGACTGAATCTTCTGCCTCCCTCTTGCACCTTTAGGAGCCTATGTGATGACACTGGGCTCACCTGGGCTATGCAGGTTCACCTGTTCCAGAGGGAGCTCACTAGTAACCATACGTCCCTTAGTAACCATCATCCCTTTCTCCAGATCACGTTGCATAGTTGCAGGTGTAACTCCAGAGGGTGAAATCGGGACAGCCAAAATGTTCCCTACTACAGGGAGTGAGAATTCCAGGATAACATCAAGGTTTTGGGGCCTCAACAAATAGAAGAATGAAATGCCATTAGCCACAGTAGGAGTGCCTCTAGGAGTTGTGAATGAGATAGGGTGGCATCCTGACTGGAGGTGTAAATTAAAAACTCATGAGCATATAGATGATACTGAAAACCCCAAAAGTGGATAAAGTGACGTACAGAAAGAGTTTAGGTAGAACGATAAGAAGTCTAAGAACTGAGTCCCAAGGAATTCCAATGTTAACAATTCAGTGAAATGAGGTCCAACCATAAGGAATGACCAGGAAGAAAAGATGAAAATGAGGGAGGGTGCTTTCTTGGGAGCCAAGATAAGAAGTTTTCAAGGAGGAGAAATTTTTATTGATCAAGCAGGAGGAAGCCTGAAAACTGACCATTACATTTAGGAATATGGAGGTGATTAGTTTTCATGACTTGCTGGGAGCAAGAATTTTAATGGATTAGGTTCCAAACAGAGTAGGAAAACAGGAATGGACACAGAAAGTATAAAGAGCTCTTTAAAGGAGGTTTCTGTAAAGAGGAGAGAAATGGAAAGATTGATGAAGAGGGAACAGACATGAAGAGCTTTTTTTTAATGATGGGAGAATTAACAGCAAGTATATGTGCTGATAAAAATAATTCATTTGCATTTCTCTAATGACCAGTGATGATGAGCTTTGTTGGCCACATAAATGTCTTCTTTTGAGAAGTGTCTGTTCACATCCCTCACCCATTTTTTGAGGGAAAGGGGTTGTTTTTTATTGTAAATTTGTTTAAGTTCCTTGTAGATTCTGGATATTAAATGTGGTACATAAACACCATGGAATACTATACAGCCAGAAAATAGAATGAGTTCATGTCCTTTGCAGGGACATAGATAAAGCTGGAAACCATCATTCTCAGCAAACTAAAACAGGAACAGAAAACCAAACACCACTTACCGTCACTCGTAAGTGGGAGTTGAACAATGAGAACACACGGACACAGGGAGCGGAACATCACACACCGGGGCCTGTTGGGGATTGGAGGTAATGGGAAGGAGAACATTAGGACAAACACCTAATGTACATGGGGCTTAAAACCTAGATGATGGGTTGATAGGTGCAGCAAACCACCATGGCATATGTATACCTATGTAACAAACCTGCATGTTCTGCACATGTATCCCAGAACTTGAAGTAAAATTTAAAATAAAATAAAAATAATTCGTGCTGGTGACACTAGAGTAAGAGAAGACAATTGATGGAGCAAGCCTGTGCACGTGCATACTGTGATGAGGTCAGCTGCCCACTGGAAGGGCTTGGGTTCAGCTGGGATCACCTCTAGCAGTCGTTATCAATCCTGGCTGGATAACAGAATCACTTGGGAAGATTTTATTTTTTAATTTCCATGTCTAGGACCTGCTCATAAAGATGCTGATGTAATCAGTCTTATGTGGGGCCAGGATGGTTTTTAATGGTGCCTAGGAGACTATGGTGTTCAGAGAGAGCTGAGAGATATGGTGTGAACCTGTCGTGATTCTCCTCCTGGTTTTGATACTAATTAATGAAAGAACCATGGCCCTTGGCTAAGAGTGAGGGTGTGGAAGATGACCTGAAAGTAAAGCAAAGAAGGGAACCTGCAAGTATGGGAGAAAAAATGGACCAAGGCAAATACTGTATTTTTTAAATGGGACCTATAGAAAAAAAAAAAAGATATAAAGAATAAGCACTACAAAGAAGGATCAAATATGATTCAAGAGTTTCAGTAATGGATTGGCATGGACTCACCACTCCTTTGTCCTTATTCTTAGGACATAATTAATTTCCTGTCCTGAAACTTCCTATAGTTTCTAGAATGCATCTGTGCTAAATTTGTCTTCCCAGAAATTATTTCACATGTATATATGGATACCATTTTGGTGGAATATAATATAATCTTATCAATAGGCAGTCAATATTTGTTACATGGTTAAAATATGTTGGTAACCACAAATACCCAGCAAGGATTTCTTAACATGTATTTTTAAGTGTAATAAATGGATAAGTGTATTATGTATAGCAGTTTGTTTATATTATGAATATTGGTATAAAGACACTAAAATCTAAGCAGGCAGTCAGATCTGATTTTTTAATTCAAAAGAAGCAAAGAGTAATTTTTTATTTGAATTAATACATGATTAACTTTTAGTTGTGTTTTATTTTATTTAAGAAATTGCTTTTTTGTGTATTTATTTTTTGAATGGCAAAGGAGAGAAAGAACTGGATAGAAAAGTCTCACATTTTGCATGGTGTAATGATCATGTTAAGGTCCTCAAAGTGATAGGAACACTAGGAAGCAGACAAAAATAATCACCCACACAGAAACATACACATGTGCACACACACAATGTGTTTTGCATGCTTTCTCTGTGTACACAGCAAACTGTATACACCTTTCCTATATGCTATGTTAATGCTTTATGACAGTAATGACACAAAAATTTCTCAAGATATTGGAAGGAAATATCCTCAGCAAGGCAACCATATAATTTCATCTCTTTTAGTGAATAGTTTCCATTACTAATGGGAGCAAAAGTGATGGACTATAGTGAAGGTTATCTTCAGCATCAAATGATGAAGAAATAGTTGACTCCTAGAACTCAGTGAAAGAGTTTGAATATGTAACAATTATTATAATTTCAAATGCATTATTGCAATGTAAAAATTAAAATATTTGGCTCTAGAGGGTGTCTGTTCAGCTCAGACTGCTATATCAAAATATAGACGAAGCGGCTTAAGCAGCAGACATTTATTTCTCACAGTTCTGAAGACTGGGAAGTCCTAGATCAAGGTACCTGGCTTGCTGACAGCCACCTTCTTGCTGTGTCCTCACATGAAGAGGAAGCTCTGATTTCTTTTCTTTTAAGAGTGCTAATTTTATCATGGGACTCCATCTCATAAACTCATCCAACCTAATTCCCTCCCAAAGGCTACAGCTCCTAATACCATCACCTGAGGGTTAGGGCTTCTACGTATGATTTTTGAGGGAAAGGAACTTCTATGTATGATTTTTGAGGAAAAGTATGATTTTTGAGGGAAAGGAACATTTAGTCTGCAATAGGGCATATTTATTTGGTACTTGGAGCTGACCCAAGTATAAAATAATGGATATACATGTATTACTTCCCTTGAGTTTCTCATCTACCTTGGAAATACCATTGTGAGTACTCATATACCCCACTGTGCTAGGGGAAAAATATGAATTTCTTACAATTTAAGAAATTTGGATTGCAAATGAAAGTAATCTGTTTAGAGACAGTATAACGTCTCTAGCATATGTATTACTTCTCTCAAAAATGCATATAAGAAAAAGTTTTCACTTCATAGTAGTGATATTTTTATTTATCTTTAAGCTATTGAAATAGTCAAATGCATTTGTTTATGCAATTGAGAAAGTAAAAAAAAATTGCCATAAGAAAAAAGTTTCCATTTAAATTATTGTTTAAACTTGCAGATTGTGTATTTGTATGAATAATTTTATCTCTTATTTCCAAGTACTTTTATTGGCTGGCTGAGTATAAAGAATCAAATATACTTTTTCAAAGGACAACATGTCTATGGTGTTTTTATGTTAAGGTTTATAGTATGTCATTTAAAAGCAATTCGGGATTTTTTTTTTTTTTTTGCTTTATAAATGTATTTTTGTCAGTGTAAATTTAGTGTCTTTGATGTTTTTATTGTTCTCTTCTGGGAGTTGGTGATATTTCAGTGTGCAATTTGTCATTTTAATATGCTGCATCAATCCAAAATGTGTTCAACAACTCTTTTTCCCTCTAAAAGGAAACCTGTCCTAAATTTTCTTTTAAGGCTGTTAATTCAACTCCATTTGAGTTACACCACATGAAGGAAAAGGGAAGAAGACTGAGGGAGAGAGATGGAGAAATAGAGTGAATAGGTGACTTAAAGATCAGAGTGGAAGCACATAGGGAAAGTTTAAGAAGGAATGTGAATTCCCCTATTGGAATTGCCACTCCCAATTATTGCTTCTTACTGATTAGTCCACAATGTGTTTCCATTACAAGTAACTGCTAATGTTATTATCTGGTGCCTTGCCGGTATGCTCGGTACTCTCCGAGCTTTACATGACTTGACTTACTCCTTTCAATCACATATGTAGTAGGTACATATGCTATTGGAAGTAGGTAGGACGTGCACCCCACTTGGTGGGTGAAGCAGTGGAGCCTTTGAAGAAGTAACTGCTACCTCAGGGCTTCCCGAGTTGAGAGACCATGTTTTTATAGACAACATCATCCTGCAAAACTTATTTATGTGGTATAGTTAGAGAAACTATTAACTCCATTGGTTGATTTACCTTCCTTGCCATTTGAAATTCTTTCTTCCTGCTTTCTAGTGGAGCTCTCTGCCTGCTGTCAAGGGAATGTCCAAAGGCCAGGAGAAGTATTTTTTTATGCTTTGGGATTTTCCATCTTCTTTCCCTGATCAATCCCTCCTCGTTCTTCTTCCTTTTTTTTTTTTCAAAAGCAATATTATTTATTTACTACTTAATATGCCACATGTTTACTAAGGACCTATTTCAGTCCAGTCACACAAAGAACTTGTAAGCCTATTTACAGAACTATAATATCGTACTTTATTTATATCCCCATTTTATCACAAAATTGTAGGTAATCTATTAGGAAAATTGAAAAATATCAAAATGTAACACTGGGATATCTCTGTTTTCTTCTCCTACTCCTCAGACCCTTGTACCAGCTTCCTTGGTTGGTTCCCTCTTCTATTGATCTCAGACTCTTGATTCTAACTCTCTTTCTACCCATCTTCTCTGGGAGATCTCATTTTCCCCCATTGCATCCACCTCACCCACTCTAATTATGCTAAATCTGTATCCAGACCTTTTTCCTGAGTTCCAGTCTTAATTTTTCTGATGATCTTGCCTTTATTAATTGTCGTGTTCAAAGCTGAATATATCCACCCTCATCTTCTTCCCAAACCAAAACTTCCTCTGTGATTCTCAATTGATGTTGCCATCACTCCCCTGGTCTTCCAGGACAGAAACCTTGAAGTCACTTTGATTTTGGTGCAGTTTTGTAAAGTACTGATGGCTTTACCTCTTCTGAATAATCTACAGGAAATATCAACTGTCTACATGCCATTCAGAGCCCTCTAAATAGATGCCTAAAATATATCGGTGTTCAATACACATTGGATGATGTCTTCATTGATAGGCTGGACATCTCTTCATTTAGACGTTCATGGGTAAATCATTAGGACCAACCTTTCTCTCCCCTATGTACCCCATTCCCAAAAGCGTAGACCGAGGTTAAAGAACAAATTTCATATATGCCTTAAGTGTTTCATATATAAAAAGTGAAATAAGACTGCCTGTTTACTTAGTTTGTGATTATTTAGTCCAGCTGTGTCCTTGTATTTACTAGATTGTCTCAGAAGTTAAAAATTCTGCAGTAGTTGGTTATCAAGTAAGCTTATTTAAAAAAAAATTGTCTCCTAGTATCTAGGGTATAAAGATAGAAGGAGCCTGTTATAATTTTCACAACTAGCGTTTGGTGAGTGCTGTTTTTACGAGTGTGACCCATCTGGGCTGGCACTGTTTCCACAGTGGTGGTGATGGCGTTTTATTGGATGCAGCTTTATCCTCTCTCCCTGACCTCCCCACAACCAGCTACACAAATTGGCAGTTAGAAAATGTGGCGCTCAATAAGCGGATTTAAGCTGACACTTCAGAAATTGAAATCAGAGCCCTGCCACCTTTAGAATCCGTCAAATCTACTAAGAACGTGACCAGGCCCGGATCCATATATGCATTTTTAAATGAACATTACTGGATGTGGTGTATGTTAAGTACTCTGCAACGATGATATGTTAAGTACTCTGCAAGGATGACTATTTCTCCAACTCAAAATTCGGAGTGTATTTGACATGGAATATATGTACACTCTCCCCAGAAGAGTCAGATTTAACCACCACGAATATCTCCTATATTAGATACTTCGGGTTGTAGAGCAAATATAAAACATCAGCCTGTCCTAAGGAAGAAATGGGGAGGCAACATTCCCAGCGAAAAAACATTGACAACATGGTGCTGTCTGCATCTTCCCTGTTCCAGAGTGGCACCGAGCCTGGCAGAGAGGGAAGTGGCAGCTTCATCAGCGTCACTCCCATTTCATTAACTGCTCAATAGGATGGGACCATACCGCCCTCTGAATGTGAAGCTGTGGATTCTTCCTTTCCTCTTACTTAGCACAGGAGGGGAAGGATGCAGGAAGAAGTAGCTCAGATAAGATGTTTGCTGGGGCAGCTACAAGGTACAAAAGAATGACTTCTGGATTTTAGACAAAAAGGGTGAGTTTTCCAGCTCCACATACATACCTACATCAGAGATTTGTACAGCTAAATATGTAGAGTGCAGGCACATGCTGACTCCAGCCCTCCGGGGCAGGTTAGAATATCACATAAATACATTCAGTGCGTTATGATGCCTTCAGTTAATAGGTAACAGCTGCTAGGTAATTAAAGGTGCCTATTTCCAAATCAGATATAAAATTACAAAAGGTGGCAAATTAATTGCATTTAAATTCTGAAGGATTCTGTATGAAGTGAATGCATGGCTTAATATTTCATGAACACAAATTCTTATTTCTGAGAAGTATTCATTATTTTGATTGTCTGCTATATAGTCACAACTTTCATAGGTGTTGTGAGAATAATTGAAAAAAGAGGAAAAAAATATACTTTATAATCATTTATAACCTAGATGGAAAGATGCACCATTCATTAACAGGGAGTTGCTGCGGGCATTCATTGGGGTGAGGTAGGATGACATGAATCTGAAACCGTGCTCTCTTCAACATTTTATGAGTTTGGTAGGAAGAGAGAAAGGGACTCTTTGGCTGTAATCCATAGCGTGAGGGCAGAGATGGAGCCAGAGGAAAGCAGATTTCTGATACGAAAGCATCGTGACAGAAGCAGCATTACTTAGGTTTAGCATCAAGGATCTAACTCTGGAGTTCAGTCTGGGGGTTGATCTGTACTCTGATACTTAAGAGCTTTCTGTCCCCAGCCAGGGCGCTTTCTGCACCTCACCTTTCTGCAAATAAGATTACGAGGTGTACCTCTCCTGTAAGTGGTCGTGAAGACTAGTTGGTTAGATAATACATGCAAATACCTGCCAATGGAATCTGCCATGTATTGCCACATGCATAATAAATGTTAGCTACTATTATGATTTGAATTAAGAGATATTATCGGAGTAGCAAAGTGGCTAAATAATGACATTGGTATGTGATTCAATGATTGTCACCGTGAGTGTAAATTATAGGAATAACAGCGTACCTTTAGGAATGTTTTAGGCAATCATATTTTAAATTATAATGAAATGGAAAAAGGTTGAAGATAGACACATAGGCTAAGGGCACTGATGTAAACAAGATAATGAGAAACAGGAATTTGATAGCACCTTTGGAAATATATTAAAAGGGAAAAAATTACATTATTAAGGAGCACTGAGCAATATTTTTATTAATTGTTTTCTGCTAATGTCTGATTATATGTGTGTACGTGTGCGTGTCAGCCATCTCTCTGAACACTTTATACGTATTTTCTCATTTATTCTGAAAATAATCCTGTATTGGGTTGAAAATTTATGTCTACTGAGAACCTATATGATGTTATTTGGAAATGGAGTATTTGCAGATGTAATCAAGTTCAGATAAGTCATCAGCATCAGGGCGGGTCCTTGTCCAGGTACTGGTGTCCATTGAAAAGAAGGAAAGAGTGTGGGCACACACAGAGGGGGGACAGCATGAGAATATGGACCAAAGCCATGTGGAGTGAGTGGCACTGCTGCAAATCAGGGGACAAACCTTCTCAGCAGCCCAGAAGACAGAGGAGAGGCGTGCTGGGTTTTTCTGGTAGTCCCAGGGTCAACAGTTCCCAGAATGTGAAACGTACTTGCTTTCTGCTGTGTCTACTGTGTCTTTGCTCCAGAGATTTCCAACCCGCCAGGAGCACCCTTCCTCTATTCCTTGCAGATGTACCTCTCCTCTCCCCTGTGGAGCCCTCCCCAACATCCTCAGGTGAAACACACAAAGCCCTTCCCCTGCAGCATTGCCAACATGAATTCCTTGAAGTGGAATCTCTTGTTTGCAAGCCCATATCTCTCACTGAAATGTGTGTTATGCAAAGGAGAGGATCAGGATTCCTTCATCATTCATTCATTCATTCATTCATTCATGCAGTAAATGTTTATTGTATCCTTGTCATTTTCCATGTACTGTTCTAAGTGCTGGGGATGTGCAGAAGGAGGAGGGGATTCAGGGAAGAAAGAAAAGCTTAAGCAAAGACACAGTGAGAAATAAAGTTCTTCCTGCCCTAATGAACTTCATAATATTTCTATCTCTATTCCTAGCACAGAGACTGTGTGTGAATCAGAGTTCTCCAGAGAATTAGAACCAATAAGATGCATATGGATGTGTGTGTATATACATATATATAGTATATATGCATATATATACAGGTCTATATACAGTATATACATATATATTCAGGTATGTGTGTATATATGGGTACATATACATATATATGTACCTATGTATATATGATATATATGTATATATACTTACATGTACCTGTGTGTATTTATACATGCACATATATATTTATTTTAACCCAGTATTTTTGTGTATTTTAGGGAAGGGGGAATGAAGGAATGAGTAATGGGTTCTGGTATTTATAATTAAAAAATCTTCTCCTGATTTTGTAGTGTCACTTCCTCTGTGTCACTTTCACGCTCCATACGATGTTATTTCTTAGAGCCGCTCCCTTCTCCTAAGCTGGATGTCTAATAAGGATTAATGGCAAAACATGAAATCTGTCATTTCTGTCTCTTCACTGTCAAGTTTTGATTAAATTGAAACTGAAAAAAAGCAAACATTTTAGTTAGCTGAATGAATGCTACAGCTCAGGTCTCCGATCCATCAAGTTTTAGACAGCATTGCCGTCGTTGGTATAAACCTAGAGTTTTCTGATTTATTGTGCTATGAGAAAGAAGAAGAAATGACTGGTAATTTTCCTAGGAAAAAGGCACAATCTGTCAGCAGCCCGGACTGCTGCTTAGTGTACAAGTGCAGCTGGAAAACAATCTGTAGATGCTCGCTGCCTCTGACAGTGCCACCACAGTACACACAGAAGTAAAATGTTCTACAGGGAAGATGTAGATGTGCCATTTATAAGATCAGAGAAATCGCTTACTGAGTGCAAGAATGAGCAGAACAGAATATGTTATCTGGGTTTTTTCTGAGCCTTTTCAATACACAGAGAATTTCTAAAACTGGACACGCATAAACACTGCTTCACAAAGCAGCATTTGCAAACAGTGTCACAACTACTCTGCTGGAGCCAGTGCCTCTGCCATTCTCAAGATCATTACCCTTTCAGCCTTTCATGATCCACAGAACAGGACCATATCCATAGAAGGGGAAAAGAATTTTAATGTCTCCCAAAGTAAAAAGAAAAGAAAACCAAACCACCTCCCCTTCATTGCAGTTTCCTTCATAACCAACACGCCTCAGAAGGTGTCTGTACTCATGAGTTGGACCTTCTCTCTTCCATTGTCTCTTGAAAACACCACTACCAGGCTTTTCCCCAGTGATTCCACCAAAGCTGCCTGTAGCAATGATCTCCCTGTTGCCAGGCTCAGAGGGTACATTTTTAGTCCTTGTCAAATTCATCTACAAGCATCATTGACTTCCATTATTTCTTCCTTTTCCACTGACTTCTTTCACTGTGTTTTCTTCAGTTGACTTTCTCTCCTTGGTTTTTCATCTGCTTCATTCGTCCTTCCTTCTCAGTCTCCCATGCAGGTTACTCTTTGCCTCTGCAAATTCCAGAGATGGTACCTGTATTGGTTTGCTAGGGCTGACGTAACAAAATACCACAGGCCCAGTGGCTTGAATAATAGCAATTCATGCTGTCAAAGGGCTGCAGGCTGGGAAGTCCAAGGTAGAGGGTCTGGCAAGTTTGATGTCTGGTGAGGGTCTGCTTTCCGGTTCATCAATGGCAGCTTCTCACTAGGTACTCACAGGATGGAAAGGGCAAGGGAGCATTCTGTGGTCTCTTTGATAAAAGCACAAATCCCACTGATGAGGTCTTTACCCCCACTAGGTAATCACCTCCCAGAGGCTCCACCTCCTAGTACCATCACACTGGGAATTGGCCTCAACATAAGAATTTTTTCCTTAAATACCTCTAGCCTGCTCCTGCCTTGGAGGTCTGTGTACTTGCTGGCCCAGATTCTGCATGGATCGCCGTTTGCATTTGTCAGCTCTCCACTCAAATGTTGCCTAATCAGTGGTGCTTGTACTACTGACCTACATTAACCCAACCCTCTCACTCTGTCCGCTCACCTGCTTCCTTCTTTTTCATTGCACTTATCACCTTGCAGCAAATTCTTTATTTCCTTGATGTTTTATTGTCTATCTCCTCCCAGTAGACTGTAGGTTTACATGAGTAAGAGATTTATTTGCTTAGTTTAGTACTGTTCCCTGGCTTCTAGAACAACGACTTGCACAAAGTAGGTGATCAATAATATTTGCTTAGTGAGCAAATAAGTAAAGGGAGCCTCTTCCTTTATGTAATAGCATCTTTTACATATGTAATATGTAATTAATGTAATGAATACATTTACAATGTAAATGTAATGAATAAATGAATATGTAAAAGCATCTTTTACATATTCGAGGACCCTCAGTCCCACCATCATGACCTGGTTGTGGCCACCATAATTTTACCTCTGGTTTATTGCAACTGTCCCTAAACTGATCACATTATCTTCAGTCTTGTCCTCCCTTAGATCCTTTCTTCTCTCTATAATGAAAATAATCCTAAATGTATTGTTCTTGCTTCTGCAAAAAAAAAAAAAATCTTGTAATAGTGCTTAGTTTCCAAACTTCTTTTCAAGAGAGTCCTCCTTGTGGATCTTTAATCTTTCCGGAGTGATTGTTGACATAACCAGCCTTCACCCTTCCCATTTTACACCCGGCCCACCTCTCACACCAGCATTTCCGATTGTACGCAGGCTCATTCAGCTCCTCAAGCCTTTTGTGCCATCCCCTAGAACTTTGTAGGTTCTAGTCCCAATCCTTTCAGCTCTTTCTGTGTAGATAACCCCCATTCATCACTTACATTCCAGTTTCTGTCTGAGCTCTGAACTTAGAGCACGTCTTCAGAGAAGGCTTTGCTGCCTCCCAGGTTGGTCCCACAGTGCCTGGAGCTGCTCCAATCCCAGCAGATGTCACAGAGTGTATCAGGGCGTTGAACGTTTGCTTCACTGGATCCAGAACTCA